CTGACTCCGCCCCCCCCGCAGTTCCTGAGCGAGGGCTACGCCGCGCACCTGGCCGCGCTGGAGGCCAGCCACCGCTCGCGCCCCAAGAAGAACAACTCGCGGATGATCCTGCGCAAGGGCAGCTTCGGCCTCCACGCGCAGCCGGACTTCCTTCGGAAGCGCAACCACCTGCGCAGGACCATGTCGGTGCAGCAGCCCGACCCGCCCGCCAACCCCAAGCCCGAGCGCGCGCAGAGCCAGCCCGAGTCCGACAAGGACCACGAGCGCCCCCTGCCGGCGCTCAGCTGGGCGCGCGGGCCCCCCAAGTTCGAGTCGGTGCCCTGAGGGCCGGGCTGTGCGCCGAGCAGGGGGGCCTTACCAGGCTGCCCGCGGGGACCGGAGGGGCTGCCTTCTCCCCAACAGAGGCCTTTTCCTGCTTTTTCCCTCCCGTGTCTGTCCAGCAGCGTCCGACCACAGAAGGGGGGAGGAGAGGAACCCTACCCGTCCTTGGGGGGGCTCCCTAGGCTGCAAGGGCATGAGACTCCCCCCTCCCGGGTCTCAGTGCAGCCACTGCGGCCTCCCCCGTGCCTGCGGCTTCAAGCCCAAGTCAGGGTTGATGTCTGTGTAATCCGGGGTGCAGGCCTGCCCCCCAGCTGGAGTGTTTGACCAAGTCGACCATCTTTCTGAGTTCTCTAGGCTTCCGGGGTAACGACAGGCAGGCCCAAAGGGAGAAGCCCCCAGACCAGGGATCCACAGCCACTGGCAGGACCGGCTTCGTGTCTGGTGGAGAGGCGAGTGAGTGGCATTGTGCCCGCCTGCCCTCCCTGTGACTTTCTGAGTTACCCTCTTGGGCCTGGCTCTCCTATGGCAAAGTGGCCACTTTCTGGGAGTGAGAGGATGCCCCCTGGGCTCATCCTTTGTTCAGGTGTCTGTCCCCTGGCCCTGGGGGGAGGGGTCTGGTGCTGACAGCCTGTTCTGCTGCAGCTGTTCATGTCCCGCCTTCTTGTCCTCAGTATCTTTACCACTCTCCTGTGGCCCTTGAGGACAGTTGTTCCTCTTTCCGGAGTCCTGCCTGGTGCCCTCCCCTGTGAGGCTGCGGCCTTGGGCTCCGGCCTAGCTGGGCTAGCTGTGAGCCCTGGAGCCAGCTGCTTGCCCTCTCTGGGCCCTGCCTTCCTTACGTAATTGAGGGATCTCCCCAGCTGAGATTAGAGGGATGCGAGTTTTGACTCCTAGGCTGTCCTGCACTTCTGTTCCGTGAGGCTTTTCAGGCCCAAGAGCTCCTCGGAGGGCTCAGTGATTTACACTGTGGCCACAACCTGAGAGCGGGGCTCTGGGTGGGCTGGGAGGGAGCAGCTATTGCTCCATCACTTCAAAGGAAGGCCCTGGGGTGGGGGGGAAGGGGTCCGTCCTCCATGGAGAGATTTGTTTTGCAACAATGCCCAAACCCTGATGCCCAAACCTGGTGTCCCAGGAACAGACATCTTCCCAGAGGGCACTGATCTGGCTCCTCCCCACCACTACCCAGACTCATTGCTCCCTTTTGGCTCCTGGAAGGCATAGAGCTGAGAGCCTGGAATTCTGGGAGTTCATGTAGTTTTGGCTCAAACTGTTGTATTCTCTGTCCTTCCCTTTGCCACTCAGCTTGGTCTGGTGCCCATAACTTCCTCTTGGGTCATCCCCTGAGATTGGTAGGGCTTAGCTCTTCTGGGGCCCCTTAAAGCCTGTCCAGGTCCTCATGCTGCTCAGCCAGGGCTCCGTGTCATGGGCCAGGCGGCCTTGGGGCCCAGACATCTGTGTCAGCCCAGTGTCGCTTCTGCTCAATGTCTACCTCTTGCAGTTCCCATGTGTCCGGTGTACTCCCCGACAGCCGCTGCTGGGGGGTGGGCAGCTGGCACCACTGGCAAATGGGGCACCCTGCTGGGGCTGGAGGGGTCCTGCTTCCAGCCCCTGACCCTGCTCTCTACGAGAAACGTGTCTTCTCCAGTCTGCCCGATCTCCGCCACACCTGCCTCACCTACCTGCCAGCTCTCTGCTTCACTTTCAGTCCCCCACCTGCATTTCAGCAGCAGGAGCTGCCAGCAAGTCTGTTGGGGAGGGACGATCACCCGGGCTTCCTCTTTGGTCCTGCCTCCTGGCAGTTCACATTCCTCCTTCACATGGCATTTTTCTCGGCTCCCCCATAAAGCACCAGCTCATGTGGCTTAGCCACCTCAACCCCAGTCCTTCCCTTCCTTTCCAAAATATACCCTAAATTAAACTTGGGCAGGCTGACTCTGATTCTCTGAAACTCCATCTCCTTTTTGCAGAAGCCACTGATGTATTACTCTCATGTGAGCAGGATTCTGTGATTGTGGGGGTCTGAGCTGGGATGTGGAACCTAGCAGGGGAGCCACCCCTCTTCTTCCTGGAGCTCTGGATTGGGGCTCCGAAGCTGATGCTGAAGGTGTACAGTGAGCTTGTGAACACGCACTCACGGGGCTTTAGTGAGTGTGACTGTGTCTGTGTGATTCTGTGTAGTGACCAGACTCAGACAATGTAGGTTTCAGTTCTGATTTCTCAGCAACTGTAACCAATATGCACTTTCTCCGCTAGTGGTTTGTTCAATTTTGTTCGTCCAGTTAATGTTGGAGAAAAACAAAGAACCAAGTCGTGTTGTTCTCTGGAGGGGGCTGCTGCCTCCCCCAGAGTAGTTGTGACCCATTCGGCTGTTTTCTAGAAAATCCTTCCAGCTTCCGGTGTGCCTGACCCTCGGGAGCCGGAAAACAGATCTTCCTGCCTGACCAAAGCTCCCTGTTTCTGACGTGGCATGTTTGTTTCTCCCAGTTCGGTGGCCGTCCCGCTGGAGGGCCTGCCTGCTGCCTTCCTCTCCATTCGCCCTGTTGGGGGTTCAGGGTGTACCCCACAGCCAGGGCCTGCTTGTCTGACATCATGGTTTTTTCCTAAAGAGCACGACTCCTTCTTTAGGCTCCGCAAAATATTAAAAAATAAAAATAGGAGGCTTTTCATGCATTGGATGAATGGCTCTCCTGCCTGGACACTGGCCAGAGAAAACAAACATGCCTGAACCCCAGTATTCAGAGATT